GGAGTAGGATATCCCTACCTTGAAGTTTAAGCCACAAAGGAGATGAAGACTCGAAGATCAACTTGCTCCAAATCCAAACTTTTTCAGATTAAATCGAAGCTCTCAACGCCCTCTATCTTTTTAACAAAGGCCCTAGGCTAGATTCACACCCTAGGGAGATCAAATCTTAAAGAGAGTGCAAGTTTAGAGAGAGAGGGTGTCGGATTTAGGGTTTAATCAAAGAAAAGGACTGAAAAAGTGATGTTTTAGACGCTGAGCTTAAGGCTTCCAATGGTAATTCAGCTGCCAAAAATGTCAAATCAATGAATGAGCAGTGTAAGAAATCTAGGGTCCATGATGGTAAGAGGGAAGGTGTAGATTATAGAAGCAAATCTAAGGAACTGGCAATTGGGGGCACCAATAGATTTGCTCCTAGAAGCACTAAGATGGCCCATTTGATGGCCGTGATGGAAAAGGAAGATGTGATTTCTTCAAGGGTGACCAAGGGAAATGGAAAAGCAAGAGACGCACATGGCAGTTTGGAATCTACATTGAATGAGGGCACTGCAGTCGAAATGTTTGATGCATTAAAAGATTCAGGATATGAGGTTGGCGATATGGTATGGGGGGTTGAAACTTTCATTATTTCATTTGCATATTGGGATTGCTTTCTTAATTGATTTTTTTGGGTTTTAAGATATAGAAATCAATGCAATATTTGATTCCAAATCAAGAAAAGTTATTTGAGAATGCTAACTAATTGTTTGCCTACATTTTGGTAGTAGTTATGTGGGTTTTTGAAAATTTGGCAAAATTAAGGGTATAGGGTTTTGCTTTTGAAGCATAATGAGGATGCAATGGGCTTTAACTTTGTCAATTATGTAAACATTTATGATGGGTTTTAAATTTAGAGACACCTTCTTGTGATGGATGATGATCCTCCTGAATCAATTAGAGGTTTACTGATTGCTAATTTGATAGGCGTTAGCCCTTGTCTGATGTTCTTGTTTTGAACATTGCTTTTCATTGCCTTCAATTCTTTAAAAGAAAAAATGACATCGGTCTAAGAACACTAGAGATTGTCGAGAACTCATTCAATCGATAGGTATAATAGAGTTAAAATTGAGGGCCAGGGATGGTAGGTTTTGTGCTGCCAGACATGGTAATTTAGATGTTGAAAATGTCAATGTAAGAATGCTAAGAAAATGGAAGGTACAAATTCTATAATTGGGATTAAAAAAGTTTAGTAACTGGGGGCAGAAACAGAATTGTTGCTAAAAGCACTAAGATTGTACATTTAATGGTGGTGAGTTTGGTGACAGGAAGCTATGAAGATGCTTTGATTGAAATGCTTGATTCATTGAAAGAAGAAATATTGAAAACTTGTTGTAATACAAGGAGTGAAGGTGAATTTTTAGATAGAATTAGAAATTTGACTATGCCAAAATCAATGACGCTGCACTTTGATGCCGTGCAATGCATGATCTATTGCTACAACTAACATAGCTTGAATGAATCTATTGCCACAATATGTGATGCATTAAATTGAAATCTATGTACAATTAAGGATATCGCTTGTGTTATAGTTTGAAAAATATCGGTTCTCATTTTTAGTGATCTTGCCGTAACATTCCAAAATATTAACTGAGAGGGTGATTTATGATCTGGAGTTGGGCCGAGGTAACGGCCGAGCAGGTTGAGAGCCCAACGGTGCATGGGGCCGAGATGATTGACTATCCGCCCAGAGATGGGCTGCCAGAACTTGGGCCGGGCAAAACTTGGGCCAAGTGTGTGCCGCCCCAGACCGTAAAGAAGCTGCTCGGCAAGGCAGTGCTCGGTTAGACCGAGCTGCTTGATCACGCGATGGTGGAGCCAGTCAAGCTGAGTGACCAGCGCCCGGAAAGACGTGGTCAGCTGAGGTAATCGTTTGATCGGCAGGAAGGCCGACCACAGGAGGTGCCCCGGGCTCGGCTTTGCCGAGATGCCACCTAGCCCGGTCCTCCTTGGACTTAGCCAGTGAAGTGCTTGGGTATGAAGCACAGCACGACTGTGGATAGAGGAGCTCGGCTGCTGAGCTCCAGCTGAGAAGGCAGGCAGTTGAGATTAGGTGATGTTCAGCAAGGTTTACGCTGACAGATGGGATAGCGGAGCCACGTGTCAGAAGATGACTGGGAGTGGATATGGGGCGCAAAGGGTATATAAGCATGACTGCGCCCCCCATACGCGGGGAGACGAACACTTTGTAAGGAATTCTTACACTCAAACACTCCTCTCTCTCTCTCTCTCTATCTATCCCCTGTGTGTGTTCTAACTTGATCGTCGGAGGGGTTTTCCGGCCACACACCGCCGGGTAGCTCACCGTTGTTGTGCTCGCAGGTGATCGGACAGAAATGGAGCTTGAAAGAAAGGAATACAGACTTGCCTGAATATTTGCTCCCCGTACAACAACTTTATTAAGAGCTTCACTTCGTTGATGGAAAATTCTCTCATAAAATCTTGAGATAGAGTCTAAAACGTGTACTCTAGTTAAGGTAAATGTTTGATAAATGGGGAGAGTATCATGTGGGATTGAACGATACATTTGATCAAGAGGTTGTTTTGTACGAGTTATTTGCTCGTCTATAGTTTGGAGATGAATGTTGCCCTAATTTATTTGTTCAGCAACTTGGCCATCGATATTAATTATAATAATAATAATGATTATAAAATATCATAATCAACAATGCAATGAGATTTTAGGTTTAGGATTGGTTTGGGGTGTCTTAAATAAGTGCACTTTTTGTCTTTTTAGACTAAAAAGTTGAGAAAAAAATATGAATGTTTTGGTTAATTTTTTGACTTTTTATCATAATGTGTGTAATATAATATTATTACACATGGTCAAATGTCTCTTTTACCCTTGGCAACCGACACACCAACAGAACAACGTGTCACCCGTGTGTATTCGTCGTGGTCAGGCATTTGGGGGGCCACGTAATCGTAACTGTCTGGGATATTCATCGTGACCTCATCAAGTTCGCTATGTCGGCGTATGAAGTTATGTAACGCCATCGACGCACATACAAACGTAACTTGATTAGAAAAACTTAACTTCTGCATATTCCGCAATGGCCCCCACCTAGACTTCCAGGCACCGAATGTTCGCTCAATACAACTACGCAGTGACGAATGTGCCTTGTTGAACATTTCGAACTGATTCTGGGTGTTCGATTTCGATGGGCATTTTGGTGATACCTATACCCCTTGTAGGGGGCTAGGTACCCTGTCTTGTTGCTGTAACCGCTATCCACCCAATAGTATTTTCCTGCAAAATTTTTGGTCATTTGATTTTCAATTTGACAGCATTCTGTACCACTTAAATTATTCTTCAATTAACTTGTCATGGTACCAAATTTTCTTTTTTTGGTTAATGACAACGTTTTTGTTGAATAATTTCATTACTAAAAATTAATTTTTTCCCAATTTGGTTTTCAATTACTCCTTCTCCCAATTCCTTTTGTTCTAAAAAATTATATTCCCAATTACAGCATTGTTTCTAATGTTCATAATAATTTATTTTTTTTTATTTTCAATTACATTTTCATTAATAAAAATTGTTCTTATCCCAATTTTATTTTCAATTACTATTTAGGGACTGGAATTATGTTCCAATTAACTTGTCTCAGTTTTTGGTTTGTCTAATAATTATTTATTCTTGTTAAGACCTTTTGTTTTCAATTACTCTTCTTCGCAATTACCTTTGTTGTGCAAAATTATATTTCCAATTACTGCATTTTCAGCGAATTATAAGAATTAATTCTTGCACAATTTATAAGAATTACATTGTTGTCAATTATTTCGTTAGTAATTTTTTCTTTTTCCATTTTTGTTTTCAATTACTATTTCATTTTGAAGTTCTTTTATTGTGAAAAATTATATTTCCAATTACAAAATTATTTTTCTAATTACTTTCTAATTCATTAACAGCATTTCTATTTTGAGTACTTTTAAATTAAAATTTTATTACTAATTATAACATTTCATTTTCATTTTCATTGTCATTTTCACATTTTATTACTAATTTTATTACTAATTATAACATTTCATTTACCACTTCATTGTTTTGCAATACTTTTCATTTTCATTTGTTTCATTTTTTTAAGTTGCTTGCAAAAATTTTGATCAATGGGAAATAAACTACATTAGACAAATGATTTTGTTGACAAAATAAAAAAAATAAAAAAAACACAATAATTTTCACAATTTTTTTGCCAAGAAAATACATTATTGAAAAGATTACTGATCAATAGTTTCAACGTATTCATATTTCTGTTTCATATTTTTTACCTGGTGCGGGATGCAGGAAGCGATGTTTCTCTTCAGTAGTCACGTAGTGCAAAAACCGGCTGTCGTGCATGCTCTCGTCCCAACCGACAGAGACAAATGTGAAGCACAAATTAAAGTCGCATACGGCAATTATATTCTGTGTCGGCATGCCTTTCCGGCCATAGTATGATGCGGCGTACTCTTGCGAGACACGAGCCATCACGTGCGTCCCGTCCAATGCACCGATGCAGCCCTACGCAACGCACCAATTTTTTACAAATTGTCATAACTTAATTCCACGTTTTTTTCTAAGCTAAATAAAAGTTTTCACATTTATGGAAATTGTCACCTTGAATGGCCGGTACTGCTGTTGTGACAGTAAATGTGGATGGCCCCCTTGTTGTATTTGATCGGGCGTAAGACTCCTACTATGAACCGATGTAAACGGTATCATAACTTGTATTATCTCATGAAAATTGCGTGACAATGTCTCATTTGAGTGTTGGAACAGTTCTTGCAAATGTTTCCAAGATAGACCCTGCAATGCACAAATAAAAATGGCTACCTTCTCTTCCAGCGGAACGCCATGCTCTCGCTGCGGCAACGTCAATCCAAAACTGTGAAGTGCATCGCATAGCAACAAGAACACTGGTTTTGACATACTGACATTATCTTGAAACTGGCCCTGGTGGCCGTTAAATAACTCAAACATCCATAAACGTCCCGAAAAACTTTGTGATAATGGTTGTAGTAATATCTTGCCACACTGTTATAAGCTTCTACTAAGTTGTGATCAGTTTCAACCACCATTTCCCTCGCAATTTCATTGATAGCTTCCTGGGCGGGAATGGAAAGTGCAACGCGGTGACTCGGACCTGCGTCGTTCGCCATTTGGAAATGTAAGAACGAAAAGTATGAAAAACCACCCAGACTTCCAAGGAAATAAATGAGTTCTTGGTACAAGGAGCGAGAGGGATAGAGAGCAAACCACACTGAAGCAAAAACAATTGACAAGAGGGGAAGCATATAGGGCTATTTTGGAAACTTGGCTAAAAGTCACTTTTTTTGGTTAGTAGCAAAAGCCAAAAGTTGGCTTTTTTGGCTTTTTTTTCATTTGGCAAGTTGGTTTTTAGCCAACGGTGCAATTACAATTTTACCCCTCATGGGTCACAATGTGTTACATAGGTTCAGTTGTAAATATTTTAAATAAATGGGGGTAGTTTAGTCATTTTATTATGATTTGACATCATAAACAAATATTAATAAAAAAAGTCAAAAGTTACTTTTTACCAACTTTCCAAATCATTTGTCTAAAAAAGCCAAAAACTTAATTAAAAGCCAAAAAATCACTTTTTATCATCTTTCCAAAACAACCCAATGGCCAAGGTTGTGGGGCCATTTTTTTTCATAAACGTAGCTTTTTGTGATGTACTACTTTCAACAACTTGTCAAAGGTGTCATCATGTTGGATTCTCTTTTATGTGGGAACCAAAAAACAATGAAGGAGGTGCACAAAATGTTATTCCCTTTTTTGTAGGAATCAAAAAACATTTTAATAATGTGCACAAAATAATATTTTGTGCAGCCATGATAATAAACTGAACTACTTGCCTAATGAAAAAATAATAAACCTATTTTTCATATTTTATAGTCAACTTCAGTGTGTTCAAATAAATAAAATTAAAAAATGTAAACACAATACAAAATCAAAGTCATTTATGAACCGAGACAACCATTTATACACCAAATATACAACAAACAAAAAATATAAAAGTTTCATATTTGTTTACACATGAAATAAAAACTGATTTTCCAAATGTAAAATAACAAAAGTTGTCCATCACATACAGGGTACGCACAACATTATTGAAAAGTAATTTTTACACAACAATGATTTAGACCATTAAAAAATAAACCACTACTAGCACTAATGTATTGGGAATGACAAAAAAAAAATAAAATAAAATAAAACAAGGCATAGAAAGTGGGCGGGGCCCACTGCTACATCATTAGTACTCCCCGTAATGCTCTCTTTTTAGTGATCCTAAATATTTTTCATTTTTACACGTCCACATTCCCATGAACACAACAGTGTTCACGTGGCTACTGCAGTAATGTGAGGGGTACATCCAAGATAGCAACCTAATGAAAAAGCTATGGTCTACAATTGTAGGACCTGTCCAATTCTCACAAATAGACACTATTGAGGCAAGTTCAAAAAAATCTTTAGGGTACATTAAAATCTTTGGGTACAATTGCAGAGAGCCCTTATTGAGAAACCTCATTGCTTTCGAGCAGTGTTGTCCTTCCATTGAGCGTCGTCACATCACATCTTATGCCTTTCTTATGGATTCGCTCATTGATTCTGCTGCTGATGTCGAATTGCTCGAAAAGAATCACATTATAAATAATTATTTGGGTGCCAGTGAAGATGCCTCGGTTCTGTTCAACAATATCTGCAAGGATGCTGTATTAGAAGAGTCACTGCAGGCGTCTGTGGCCGAGATTTATAACATCGTTGAAACGCGATTACTTCTCTAACCCGGGGTCTGACTGTAGTACGCAAAAGTGGTTTTCCCGTATCATACATAAAAATTAATTTCAGCCATTGATCCTCATCTTTTAATCTGTGTCGTCCGATCAAAAACAAAATCCACGTACGTCTACCGGTTACAACCAGTGAAAAACAAAAATGCAAAACCTAGTTAGGTCCACTTTCTCTCTCTTTGCTTCCCTCCATCTCTCGCCTCTTTCCTCATCGATGGCGGTTCTTTTGGCATTCTCTGCCCGCTGAATGGCATCGCAATGCTCTGGAAACCTTCATTCACCAACAATTCCATGTCGGTCAAAATAACTCGTCTCACCCCAAGCTTTAGCATTGTTTGTGGATTTATGTTTCTATTAAAAATTCTGTACATGTATGATTATATATATCTCTTTTTTCATATATATATATATATATATTATAGAATGGCTCATATATGTTTTGATGTCTTTATTTGTTAAGGGAAATAAGTGGAGCCCCAAATGGAATTTTTTACTTTCTTGAAGAAAATTTTCTTGCAAAACAAACAGAGCACGTTTTAAAAAAATCCGATCCACTTTCTTTAGTTTTGAAAAGTGACGTGTTTTCCTTTTGGTAATTAACTGAAGGTTTGCATTCTTCGGCTTCATTTGTATCCCGAATGCTTGATTGAACAGACCATGATTCTTTTTTTGGAGCATAATTCTTCAGCTAAACCATTTATTGAGTAAATTAAGGTTATGTTCGATTTATGTATTTGGTAAAAGATTTGAAAAATAAAAATAAAAAGGGATTGAAATATGAATTAAATATGATTATATTATATATGTTTTAATTCTTTATCATCTCGTGGCAAATTAATTGGCAATCACTTTACTAAATGTGATCCAATTTATTAGTAATTATGGTAAATTTTAACTCAATTTAAAATTAATTATTTTGTTATATTTTAAGCATTTAAACTGAGGTGGTGACGGTGATTATAGGCTAGTGGTGAAAGTGGAAGGGTTTAAACAAATTTCACACCAGTAATAAATTCAGTTTCAAATTAAATTATAACATAATATTTTATTCAATTTATTTATTAATTTATTATTTTAAAAAATAACTTCAAATAATTAAAAATTTAGTTTTATAAAACCACAGACATAGAAATTGCTAATGGTCTATATCATACTCAACAATAATTTACTTACTATTTCATTATACATGATTTATTATTCAATCAAATTCTATTTAGTACTTAATGGGACTTGACTTACTAACAAACTTCACTTACTATTCAATAATACTCCATTTGCTATTTCATCTAACTTCAATTAAACCTTACTTACAACTCAATGATACTCAATTTATAGAGCCATCAAAGAAATTAGGTGTAGGCAAGCATTCATTCGACCCGCCACCAATTTGCTACAAATTGGGCGATTTCAATGGTCCGAGCGAATGGATGAGAAAGTATTTTTTTCAATATGTCTAAGTTCATATATGTTAGACTTATTTATTCTAATGATTTATTTAATTATGTTTTAATTTATTTGGAAGAGAAAAATATAATCAAAATTTATTTTAATGATTTATTTGAAAGAGAAAAATAGAATCAATATTTATTTTGATAATTTATTTAATTATGTTTTAATTTATTTGAAAAAGAAAAATAGAATCAAAATTTATTTTGTCTCATTATTTCTCACATAAACTTTTATCCTAAATGTTGTTAGAATGTATTTAATATTTACTTAAATCAGGAGTTCAAACAACCCAAAAACAGAGGTTCAAACAGCCCAAAATCAGATGTTCAAACAGCCGAAAACAAAGGTTCAAACAACCAAAAACAGAGGTTCAAACAGCCCAGCATAACAGTAGTTCAAAAGGTTCAAAACTCTGGACATCCGGGTGGACATCCGGCCGGTCATCCGGTCGGACGACCGGCCAGGCCATTTTTGCCTAGTTCTGCTTCGTTTCGAACTCTTCTCTTAACGGGATTGAACTACAATGGCTATTTTTTTAAAATAAAGATATTCCAGACTAACCTTGTCTCCCACAAGATCAAATCAGTAATGATGGAATTTTTTTATTCAAATGAATATAACAGCTCTAATCTTCTCTATATATATAACAGAGCCTCTGCTGAATAAGAGACAACATTTACATACTTACAAATTCAGAAAACATTCTCTGATCTATAATCACTCTCATTCTCTGAAAAATTCTCTAAGAAGTGTTCTTCATATTTGTTTACATCATTTTTCAGAAATTATACACTAAGATGTATAGTTTTAAGCTCATCTTTCCTGTGTGAGATTTTCAGAAAAATCAAAGCTTCATTTTATATATCTATCTTTGAGAGATAATTCTTGTAGCATTCTATGAAAGCAAAAACACATTCTTTTCAATCTTGTAAGAGTATAATTTCACTAGATTTCACTGAGAGGCTCCACTTATTATTTCACTAGATTTCACTTACTATTCAATTAAATCGTACTTACTATTTAATGAGCTTTCACTTACTACTTCATTAGACTTTACCTACTACTCAATTATCTTCCACTTACTATTTCATTACACTTCGCTTGCTACTAAATTAAACCTTATTTTCTATTTAATGAGACTCTACTTACTACTCGTTGATACTCTACTTACTAAGTGGTAAACTGGTAAGTGGTAAGTTAAGTCACAAAATGTTATAAGTAGGGCTGCGCATAAAAATCGAAAAAATTGTAAATCGGTCTAGTCTAGACCAAACCCCACGGTTTGGATTGGTTTTCTCACTGCACTGTTTAGTTATGATTTTATAAATAGGCGAACCGTACTTCACGGTTCGATTCGTGATTTTATAACTATTTTTTTTTTTTTTAAAACCAAACCAAACCAAACCAAACCAAACCAATGCATTGTCTATAGATAAACATGTGGTAGATTTTATTATATAAAAACCATATTCATTATGGATTTCCTTGAAAGTCATGAATAGGGATCTAGGGTTTGACATTTGTGATTGAAGATTGTTAAGTTGGTTGTTGCTTGGGTTTATTGGGGAATAGTTTAACATGTTTATTTTGAGAGAGAAAAGAATCCTAATTTAATATTATTGACTTAATGGATTTAAAAAGGGAGGAAATTGAATAATCTTTTGTATTTTCTTAATATGGATTGTGTAATTTTGTTAATATCTAAAAAGGAGAAGTAACCATGGTATTGGATTGTTTGGATTAATCATGTTGAGTGGGGTTGGGTTGGGGCTTCGACATCAAAGATGTGGTTTTTAATTAAATGAAGAGAATGAATTTTTGGAAAATGATTGGAGTAGTGTGGATTGGAAAATAAGGAAAATTGGTTTTTGGAAAGAAAATGAAATCATAACCCTTCGTATATTAATAATTAACTTGAGATCGGATTCTGAAACATTTGCATATTATTATTGTTATTGGACTTAAGGTCTCGTGAGAATTGG